CCTGGTCTTCCCGCTGAAACGGCAGCACCTGCACATCCGTGTTCAGCTCTGCTTTCTCCTCCAGCTGCCACAGACCAAGAGGGGACCCAGGTTAGTAGAGCAAGGACCCAGTGGTCCCCAGTGATCCCAGCCCCAACACCTGGGGAAAGAGGGAACAGTCCCACGGGACAGAGCTGGGAGGGACAGAGGGGACCAAGCAGTCCCAGACCAGCCTCGAGGGTTTTGGTCAGTGACCTCATGGGGTCCCAAGGGGCCCTGCCCAGCTGGGTGGGAGGAGGGTCTCAGTGGCCCCCAGCCCACCTGGAGGAGGAGGAGGTCATCCTTGTTGTTGTGGATGTTGCTGCCGGGGTGGGGGAACTGGGCGCGCACCCGGTACAGGCGTTTGTGGGGCTCTGGCTCCGTGAGCGAGTGGGCGCCCAGGAGGACCTGGAAGAATTTTCCGTCCCTGGAAGAGAGGCAGTGCATGGGGCACAGGGACTCTGCCCCCCATGGGATGCCAGGAGCTCCCGGGGGGCACAGCAGGCAGGAGCCCTAGTGCTCCAACGTGGTCAGGGTTATGGAGCAGGGGTTGGCCTGAGGCCAGCAGCCTTCCCCAGCATCTAGCAGCCCCTGCACTGCTCCCCCCCGGCACTCACGTGTCCTCAGTGCAGTGGGCAGCGCTCAGTACCCACTGCTCGGCAATCAGGAAGCCCCCACAGACGTGCTGCCCGTCCAACTGCAGGGAGGCCATGTATGGCTTCAGGTGGGGCTTGGCCTCGTAGCCCCCCAGGATCCGGCCCCGAGGCTGCCCTGGTGTAGGTGAGAGAGCAGTCAGGTCAGCTGGGCATGGCCCAGATGGAACAGGGGGTTGGGACCCCCAGAGTCCCTCCTGGCATCCCCCCACTGTGGGTCCCAGCAGTGCCCAGCTGCAGAGGCAGGAACGGTGGGGACTGGGCAGGATCCCCCACCCCATGCTGGGGACATCACTGCCCACCCTCCCAGGGTCCGGGGCTGGGGGGGAGGTGTTTTGCACTCACCATTCACTGCAGCCCCCAGCAGCAGCAGCAGAGCGAAGACGAGGGTGGGAGCAGGACTTGGCCCCATGGCCACGGTGGAGCCTGGTGGTGTCTCTGCCCCAGCTGTGGGGTGTGTGGGGTGCGTGGGGCCTGGGGGGCTTGTGGGGTCTGCAGGCTGGACACTGCTGGCCGGGGCTGGGGGCTGGCTTTTATGTCCAGCTTTGGGGCGGCGGCGAGGCAGGAAGGGGGAATGGGGGGGGTTTCCGTGGCGTGGGCCGAGTGTTTTTAAATATTCGGCTTATCAAAGGGGTCAAGAGTTCCCGGCACAAACAGCGCGGGAGGGAGGAAACAGCCCGTCCCAGCTGCCGGCCCTGGCACCCGCTGCCGGGGATTTCTGGGCTGTTGTTTTCAATCCAGCTCCTGGCGTGTGAAGGCTCCAGCACTTGCCTGGCCTGAACCCCCCTGGACTAGGGACCCCCGCCCGGGGAGAGGGGGCGGGAGAAGGGCGGTGGGTTCAGGGTGCTGAGTTGGTGGGTGCCGGGAGTTGTGGAGCTGCCCTGAACATCCCCCGTGGGTGATGCAGTGGGGTGGGGACCACCAGCACCTGGGGAACAGCCCCAGGGGGCGACCCCTGCCCCAAGAGCAGTTCCTGTGGGGGCTGGTGGCAG